CTGATTGACATAGGAGAACTCTTTAAGAAAACAATCTCTGGGAGCTCATTTGCCAGAAATCACACACCTATGGAAATAAAATGAAGGGCTTTTATTCATTAGTTTGCACATCCTCGCTGTTGTTGAGCACCTGTGCCCTCACACCACTCAGGAAACTGAAGTGGAACACAGACGCTGTGGAAGCTTGTTTACTTCTACATTTTCCATTTTTGCCGAAAGGGTTCCCGGGGGCATCATTGTGCCAACAGTGAGAACTCTTCTCGTGGCTGCAGAGGCCTTCCTTCTGGCCTTTCCCTCAACCCCCTCCTAATTTACTCAGATGATGGCCACCGATGGGACACTTCCTTTGTCTAGCTGGGATGACAGATGGCAGAGTTTCCACCGGGATTGGCATTAATAGGACTCAGAGGAGTTTCTGAGACTGAATTGAGAGGCCATTCCTCTCTCGCCTCCAGAGGTTTAGTGCATCACATTTTTTAAATCCATCTCTGCACTCACCTTTTAGGTAAAAGGGAAGAGGGCAGAGGGGATAATTATGCAGTCGCTTTTAGCATTATTCTTTAAGAGAAGAACAATGGACTTGGGCTAAAAGTACCAATGTGATGAATCACTAATCACTTATCCCTTTGTTAGCTGAAGTCAAAATTCCAAGAAAAAATGTTTTAACACACCCTTGGATAAAGATGATTTATTTTTATAAGCTGTAGCCCAGCTTATAAAATGAAAGCTCATACATACTGCAGCAAACCATCTGTCAAGGGGGATCCAGATGAGCTAAACAGATGCAACAATTCAAGTTATTTCTGACATGCATAAATAAAGCTAGCTTGGAATCAGGATTAAAAAATACTCAAATCCTAAATGCTTTTAAAATGTCAATGGGAACTCATCAGTGTCAGATAACCCTCTGCATAGAGCATTGCGCCGGGAGAGAGCATTTTCCATTCCAGCTTTCTTCTGCCTGAGGACTCATGACAGTAGGTAACAGCAGAGCACTCAGAATAGTGGATAAATGGTAAGAGAACGCTTTCTCAGGCTACCCAATGTTTCGAATGAAATAGGAAACACAAGCTCTGCATGAATGAAAGGAAAAACTTTAGGTAAAAAATAGAGAAAGCTTACTACAGGGCAGGCGATGTTTTAAGGGGCTTGCACTTGTACGTTAATTCTCAGAACTGTTCCCATTTAGGAGATAAGAAACTGAGCCTCTGAGAAGTTAAGGAACTTGATGACGGAGGGCCACACCACCAATAAGTACAGAGCTGCAGCACATGCATCAAACCTTTACCCTCAGTTGCTTCAGAATGTGCTGAATGCCTTGTCTAGGTCATAGAAACGTGGCAGCTGGGGCCAAGGTGGGGCCGCCTCTGACTCTGGAAGACCCTTGGCTGTTATTGCCCTGGCTCTTCGAGTGCAGTATAAACACAGGGAGATAGAGAATTAAACAACAGCAGATGAGGTAGAGAGGGAAGATGGGAGGGGAGGGGAGGGGGGATAGTAGGGGATAGGAAAGGTAGCAGAATACAACAGTCACTAATATGCCATTATGTAAAAACGTGAGTGTGTAACTGATGTGATTCTGCAATTTGTATTTGGGGTAAAAATGGGAGTTCATAATCCAATTGAGTCAAATGTATGAAAGATGATATATCATGAGCTTTGTAATGTTTTGCACAACCAATAAAAAAAAAGAAAAAAAAATGAAGCAATGGGGGAAGGCATCTAGGAGCCCTCAGGATTCCTTTCTATCCCTGGTCCCTGCTTCTTCTGTGAACACCCAGACTAGCACCTTTCCCTGATCATTCTCCACTTTGAGACAATTTCGGTTGGTTCAGCTCTGAACTTTCCAGCTCCTGGAAGGAAGGACTCTGCCATATGCCTTTCTTACCGGCTATTCTATTGAATTTGCATTTTGGTTTTAACAATTGCATATGAAAATGAATAAAAGCTGAGATTAGATGAATTCTGCCTATAGAAATGTTTCTCAGCAGCAGAATTTCTCTAAGAGTACTCCTCTGGCTGCCTGCCCCGTTATCACATGTTGTTGAGAGAACGATGAATTCAAGGCCCTGCCCCCATACCACAGGCATTAAATCCTGGGTGTATGTATGACTGATGGATTTCTTTTTTAACGTCTCCAGGTGATTCTAGCATACTTTAAAGTTTGAGTTCCATGATGAATATAGAGGGCTTCATGCTTAGTCACCACCCCAGTGTGATAAGTATATTTGCTTCTCAAGGAAAGTACTGAAGTGTCCTTTAAAAACAAAGCAAATGTTGGGGCAGCTGGTCAACAAGTAAGCATTTGCAGTTCACATGGAATCTTGCAAGAAATTTTTCCATCTAATTATGGAGAATATTAAAATACATGACAAAGCACAGTATTTTGGAAATTTTATCTAAGCTTTCCCCCCAGAAACAATTGTCTTATAAGGTGAGATAAAGTAGAAGGCCCTTCAGGATTAGATGCTTTTCCATAGTAACCTCTGCACCTTGCCAGCTTCTTCAGTTGATTAACAGAAAAGAGGTAGTAATAGAAACAGAGCACAATGAGAGGGGAAGAGCTCTTTCTTCAGCCTCAAACTTGTAGCCATTTTCCCAGGTATTTTAACAATGGGTCTGTGGAGGCATGTGAACAAATTGGATTTATCACAAATCAGAGTTAATGGGAGAATTCTGAATGGCAAAGCCCTCCCCTCCCCTACTTTATTTTGAATTTAAACACCAGAATCCTCAAAGGCCTTCCCAGTAGATCCAAGTAATAATTATTTTCATGGCCAATTTCATGGAGACATTCTGGAGTCATCTGCAGCTTCTCCATCAAAGAGGAGCACTTCTAAATCATCAATGTCACCTGGGGAAATCTCATTCCCTTGCCCTTTCCCAGACCTTCTAGGTCAGACCCATTAGAGATGGAGCCCAATGATCCATATAAGGTTCCTCCAGTGATGTGGCTATGTTCCCACCTTCTGAAAAATCTTATTTACATGCAATCTTCATTACTAAAATTTAAGTAGTTTTTCTTCCTGTACAGCTTTTAGAAAATAATACGGGGGGTGGGAAGGGGCAAGAGTTTCAAGTCACGTGTCTGCTTTTCTCTAAATGTAGTGTGAACTTTACTTTAATGTCAATGACACTGGAGTTTCAGGGAGTCCTGTGTGCATGGCTCCCTTCCAAGGCACTTCAGATAATTTTCTAATATACTTTTGTATTCATCTTTTTAAGAAAAAGTATTCAAATTGTGTAAACATTGCTCATTACAAATCCTGAATCTTCTTCCTTCAATAAAGGACAGTGTATATAATAACAAAGTCATGTAAAATAGCCCTAAATTAAATATTTTTAACAGCTCAATTTTTTTTTAACTAATGTGTTCTTCAATTGTTTTTTTTTTTTTTTTAATTGCCTTAAACCAATGTTCTGCACTTAAGCAGTATATTTTTGACAGGCATTCTGATAGTCAGAGACAATACTAGCACAGTAATAGCCTGGGACAAGAGCTAGTAGCTAGAACAGATGGTCCAGGCAAAAGCCCACCCAAAGGGATATGCTGATGCCATGTGTACGATAGCTGTTTTAGAAGTCCGAGAGGGTAGCATGCTGCAGAGATTAAGTGGGGACTCAGAAACCACACTATGTGACCTGAACTCAAATTGATTGATTTACCCAGCGAATTTAATAGATGGGACTCATTCATTTTGAATAGGAAAAGAAACCTGCTGCATCTTCCTTATTCATGAGCTCATTCTCCAATTTAGGAAGGTCGCCTCACGCTCAAAGGAAAAAACAGCCTCCAAGCTGGGAAGCAAAGGTTTTCTGCAGTGTTCAGATGTTAAGGTTTTCTGTGCTTGGGCTATTTTTATTCAGCAGCACAGACGGTAGTGTAAGCACAGATTTCTTCAGCAATTTTTATTATAGCAGGTGTGGGATCTTAGGCCATTGTCCTTAAAACACATGTGCCTTCATTCCCTGCATTTGAACAGCTTGGGAGCTAATGCCAATTTATCTGTGATAATTCAGCTGTCTGCTTCTTGTTATAAAGAAAAAGAAGTATAAAATGTAACTCCAGGAAGCCTTTTTTTTTTCAGATGAGAATGACTAAAATTTCATGAAAGAACATTACAACAGATCATATTTTAGTCATTTCAAAAGCAGGAAATATTTGAAAATGAAATACTCTGGGGTCTACAATAGAATCACTTAAGACAAACCCATGTTCAGAAACAGAAGTAGGTTTAACAAAATGAACGGGTAAGTGTCCTAACTCCATAATGGCATATGAACTGACTGGAGCATTTGGAATTCCATTGTCTTGATCTCGGTAGAAAATGAAGAAGTTTTAATGTTGAAAATGTATACCACACATTGTGAGAAAAGAAATACCCAATGAGCAAGATCAAAGCCGTGTAGTACATGGAGAATGGCAGAAGTGTTATCTGTTTCAAAGATGTGTCCTCCCCCTTCCATAATCATATACTGGAATGCTACGAGGGGCAACCCAGCAGGGGTCTGTGTGCCCCTGGTTCACTTTGATTCCAAGAAGGAATATCTGCTAGTTACCACAATTGGAACATAAGTAGAGGTGACATGTTTATTTTTCAGGCCAAGGTGGTTAAACAACAGGTAAGTCTTAAACATCTTCCCTATTATTTTTATCATCATCTACCTGTTGGATGTTAACACTAAAATTGTCAAGGCTATTAGTAGCCTAAGTCTCAGATTGATGGTGCTCAGTCCCCAGCCAACACGAACCACCTTTGAGAGAGAAAATTGAATTGGTGCCTCTCAAATGTTTTGGTTTGCTTGTTTAGAGCAAACACTGGATAGCAGACAATCGAATGATGTTCAGTTATATAGCATACCTGTTATGTGAATGCGGTATTCCTCCTTGAAGATCTTCTGGAAGAAAGGGATCTTGAACTGCATGTGAGGAGTGTGCAACCCAGGGAGGTTTACATCGACATCTCCCATGAAGTGGGGGAATTCCCAGTCCTGTCAGAGAAAATCAACATAAAATCATATTTGTGATTTGTTTCATTTCCAAGTAGCAAAAACTTCCCAAACTGACTTCTTAAAAGTATTCATTTTATAATCATTTAAATGCAGACAGCTGTTGGATGCATCAATTTCATTCTGTGATGGTTATTTTATGTACATTAGGTAGCAGTATGCATTCAAAATCAAAATTAAGTCATAACTTAGATCCTTAGATTTTTCTCTTTAATGTAGTCATAATAAACTAACACAGAAATGATTTACATCTATATATGTTTATCTCTTGCATTCTGGAGAACTGATCTTACATTTTTAGAGAAAGGAAGTGATCTGTATTTAATAAATTTGAAATAAATATGTTATATTTTGTTTTGTTATTTTTAAAAAATATGAACCTCTAATAACATGTGTTGTAGAAGAGGACAAAGTAAAGAGGATTTCATTCACTTAACCAAATTCTTCAACTTATACCAGGGGGCTTTATTAATCATCTCTGCTAGCAGCTGTTCAGAATGTACAGTATCAAATATTCCTGTCCAGATTTCTTGGAATTCAGATCAATTTGAGCCAAAAGATGGAGGACCTGACACGGTGGCACTAGAGACCAACAGGGAACTAATTCCCACACTGACATTAGTTATTTTGTGTCTCACCTGCTCTTGGTTTTTAGAGAGAGGCACCAAATTAAAGTTCATGATGAGTATATAAAGAAACAATACATTAAATCTGAAAAAACATTTGAGATGGATTCACAGGTATTAATACACACAATTCTGCTTTAATTACTAAATTATCATGAAATCATCAGTGCTATATCTAATTAATATTTTAACCAACTTAAATATGAAAGTCTTGAACAAAATATTAATTTGAAATTTCAATCCATTAGCTGAATGTAAAACAGTTAAATTTATCCAAGACTTCTACCTATGTAGCTGACAGAAGTTTGCAAATAGGACTGCCTGAACTTTTTAGGAGTTTCCATGTCCATTCCACTACTCTGTCTGTTGAGCACACTGACTAAAGAAGAATAAGGCTGGAGGGAAGGAGGCTGTGTGAGTAGAGTAAAGCCTTCAGTGTCTAGTAGGTTCCTCATCTGGGAATCATTTCAAGCTGACAATATGAAAAAAGTACACAAAGAAAAAAGATGAAAGAATGCATCATATCTTTTCTATCAGTGTGTGTGTGTGTGTGTGTGTGTGTGTGAATGAATCTCATATTGGTCTCGCCTCCCCTTATTTTTCAGATACCATCAGCAAATAGACATGTCATTTGGAAAGTTTAGAAAATCCAAAGCACTAAAGCTGAATGAATTTGGAATATTTTGATCTGAAACATTAGCAAAAACTGAATTGGTAATGGTACCTGTTAACTACTGGTAAGGCTGTAGTGTAGCATTTGCCTTCCCTTTTTCCCTCACTAATACCATCTTTTGCTCTTTCTGTGCTACTTGCAAGAAAATTTATATTAAATTTAGGCCTTTGTTAAAATATAACTGATGAAAACATATGCTTGGAAAAGAAAATGACTTGTAACTAGAATATCTTTCACTTGCCCTGGATAAATGACACCTTATCATCGATACAGCAATTCTCTTTTCATTTCTTGGCTTAAGGAAAAGAATATTTCCTGGTAGTAATTGGGCCATTGTATTTAGAATTGGCTTCTTTTTAGAAAGACATTTCTTGGATGCTCCCATTTGGTTTTTCCTTTTGTGAAACTGAACTTTTCTACTGGGTGTGAAATTGGTTTTGGTTTGAAAGCAATCTCTGGAGATTTCATGTGAACTGCGATCAAAATTCCATTCACTGAAAAGTGGTTTCTCAATTATTTCCCACCTGTACTTGGAGATAGAAAGAAGAGTTAAGGAAATGGGGAGTAGAGGGAAAAGGGAGAAGAAGAAGTCTTGATGTTTATGTGGATGATGACTTTTGGGATTCTTAAAAGATGCTCAGGGAAGGGAGTCAGTGGCAGGGGCTGGGGGTTGAGATATGAGAAAAAGAGGTGGTGCCATATAAGAATTTTTTCTTAAAAAATCATAAGCAAAAAGATGATGTCTTATTCATAAAGTCTTCCAGATCCACTCCTTCTATTTTATTTTTATAATAATCATGTTTTGCTTTGTCAAAACTTTTAATCCCTCAACTCCCTGTCTCCAATCTCTTCCTCAACTACTCCAGTTATTACAATTCAATTCCTACTCTACGTAGCTCTTCAAACTTATTATTCTTGAATCAGTGTAAACTCTGGCCTAAATTGACTTGGGGTGGGATGGAAAGAACTGCTACCATTTTTTCAGAACATTTTGAGCTCATCTTAATGGAAAATGGATGTATGAGGTTAATGAAATGTCGGTTATTTATTGAAAGAAGGCAGAAAAAGGAGGAGGATGGTCTTCTGAGCCTTCCTAGATTTCAGTCTCTTCATGTACAGATTGCTCTTGAAAATATCCACATCACAGTTTTTGGGGGGAGGATGAGGTGATGCCTGAACAGCAATTGGCATACAGGGGAAAGTCATGGAAATGGCCAACATGCATAGTTGATTTCCTCGAATGATTCCAAGGTCAGGTTTATTCTGAGAGTAAAGCAGAGGAAGCTGGATCTGTTTTCTAAGGGTCACATGTTGGTGGCTTTAATGAAGTGTCGGCTTTAAGATCTAAAGGAAAAGAAAGAGAATTATCTTTTTGCCTTCATCCCTTGCATAGCACTCCCCACCACCACACCTCTGGCTGGGATTTGGCCAGAGCAGAGACCTGCCCAGGTCAGGAAAAAAGGGGGAGCACCTCGCTCAAAGGCATATAGGCGTGGCCTCATGAGGAAGACAGAAAAGACTTTAATGTTTCCTGGTGCAATGTGAGTCACAGTGACCTCCAGAAATAACTGTGGGAGATTTAAATGATTCAGAGAGGACTTCTATGCATGTAGGAGAGTGAGCCAGCAACATGTGTAATTAAAGGCTGAGGAAACCATGGACATTTGTGTTATAAATTATTGAGTACTTGCAATGTTCTAATATCATCCTAGGATGTATGCTCTTATTGTCTCTCTGTGTGTGAATTTAAATACCTCATCTATTTATCTATCTGCACATACATTCAAAATAATCCTGAAAACTTGTTATTATTGACACATTTCTCCAGTTTTATTGAGGTATAGTGTACAAATAAAAATCATATGTACTTAATTAAAGTCACAATGTGATGTTTCGATATATGTATTCATTATGAAATAACTATCATAAATTAATTAAAACATCCATCCACAGATGGAGATTTGCCTCAGAGAAGTTATTTGTCCAAAGTGGAAAAAAGGGTCATGCAGCAGAGCCCAAGTTTTAACTGGTTCCAAAGAACCCATACTTTCCACCAGGCCAGGCTGTCATTAACCATGAAAAGTAACATTATTTTCTGTTTTTAATTTGCAAATGGAATTATTTTTACCTGCTTTGTGTTCTGAATGAGAAGCACCAATGATCATCTACATATCTCTAAGAACCAATGTCATACGGGTTTTAAATTTTCTCTCCCCAACCCCAAAGGGCTGCCATTTATCTGACCCTAATGTGAACAGGAAGACCAGCTTTAACTCTTTCTCCATGGAGCAGCTGTCCCAGGGACTGTTGGCTTTTATCAGACTGCCAAGAGGCGGATGGTTTGACCAATGGGTGATTTACAGCAAATACTGAGACTGTCTTGGCATCATGAATATGGGTGCATAGCCAGTTTTATACACATATTAAATATGTGTATGTTATGAGAATCATGGTTTCCTTTCCTTCTGCATGAATGTAAAACTGCATATTTTGAACACAAGATAAAGTACTTATTAAGAGAATAATAAGCAAGATGTGTTCAGTTACTAAACTCACGGTAGATAGGCACATCTTGGAAATGCACATTATGAAATGTTCATTAATTTTGTTCTTCAAAAAGTGTTATCAGTGTTTAGTAATTCAAAGCCTTCTTACTGTTCTCTGCTATTAAATCCAGCAATAACTGGCAGAAGTCTATCAGATTTGTGGTTCAGTGGTGTGAGAATTATCTAGGCACATGGTATTATGCTATTCTGGTTCTCATCAGTTCATGATGATATCCACAGTGTGAACAGACCACTAGCCTTGCATCTGCCTCATATAGGAGAAACAGTTAATTTTCATTCAGATGGGCATATTTCCATATAAAAATAAATGAGCAGTGTCATGATATATATCCAATCTTATTTCTTACATACTATGGTTTACTTCTGCCTATGGCAATAAAAAGCAGCTACTGATCCCTATTATTCATGGCCCACATTTGGACAGAATTTCAGGACAATGTTAAGTACGTAAGCAAGCTAGTCTCAGGACATCCTGGATTCATCATTTCCCAGTGCTTTCTCATTACGATCCATGCCTCAGGGTCAAGGAAAAGAACTTGGTACTATTCAGAGGAACTCGAGCTTGAAACCAACACTGTTTTGAATTCCCTGACTAGCATTCAATTTCCCAAATCAAATGAAGAGACCTCATTTCTATTTAGGGAAGTGTTTGACGATAAAAATGTAATAACACTGATTACTCTATCCTGCAAAACTAGAGCCATCGTATCAGAACAGAAGTTATATTTTCTGGGTTAAAGATTAGCCACCTGTTTTTTGAGGAAATTAAGAAAGAAATTAGATTTTAATGAAAAGCTGGAAACTCTTTAGAATTGAATTGACAATAGATTATTAAATGTTACTAAAAATATCAGCATTTTTCAATGTAATAATTTATTTATTTCCTCTTTATAGATATTAGATTATTAAATTTCAAATTATTTCAAAAGCCAACTTTACAGATATATTTCTTTCCTTCTTTGTTAATCTCTATTTCACCATTCTCTAGAGCTGAATTTAGATCCCTGAATATCAGAACATTTTGCCAAAGATCTTCCCAGCTTGTAAAGTATCCTTAGCTTTTCCATGCTTAGCAGTGTCCTAGCAACAGGATTTTAGATGACAGTGAGCAGTGGTGGCCTGAAGAATTGTACTTATGCTTTGGGTGATATTTTTGTTTCTTATTAAGCAACTAGAGTGCCTGGTTTCTTTCAGAAACTCTGTGCTTCTTCTAATTGGCAAAGTTGCCATAGTATCATTCAGTTGAATTAATCCTTGGAAGCTCTGACATACAGTTGGTTTTGTTATTTATTTGTTTATTGCCTGTCTCCCCCACTGGAATGTAAGCTCTAGGGAGCTAAGAGGAATTTTTTTCCTGTTTGGTCCACTGCTGTGTTTCCCATACTTGAAATAGGGTTCAGCATAGAGTAAGAACTCAAATATTTGCTAATTGATGAATGGAGTGCTCTGAAAGTTATACAACAATCCATTTAGTGTTTCATGTAAATGGAAACACAGATGGATGTAGTTAAACAGAAACAGCACAATAAAAACTTGTTTTTGTAAATAAATGTTACACATCACCTAAGATTAATTATTATAAAGAAATTTGCTGTCTTATTTTTTTTCTTTATTCACCAGGTATACTGGAATTGTATGGAGAGCAACAAAAAGTCTAAGCCATTAGCCAAAGATCACAAAAGAAAGAAGGGAGTGAAGGTCAAGTGTAAATATCGTGAGCTGAGCTAGTAAATGTTTGGGAAGTTGGTTACTACACTTTGTATACAACCAGAGATATGAAAAATTGTGTTCTGTATGTGTAATAAGAATTATAGTGCATTCCACTGTCATATATAAATAATTAATTTAAAAAAAACAGCAAAAAAAGGGGGTTGGGGGACTGAAAAGGGGTCCCCTTTTGAATTGCCATTTGCAAAGGAGCTCATGAGATAATGTGCAAACAAGTTGGAGAACAGGAATGAGAATATAAAGGAGCATGTGGTTTGGAAAGCGTGAAGGAATAGCTTCACACAGTGATGACAGTAGGAGAAGTGTTAAGGCAAAGTGGAATGCAAGACAGAATCTGGTGTTCACAACAGAGGTTTCAGGACACTTTTTGATGTCCTCTGACATTGACCCTTTTCTCATATGTTGTATTCTGATTTTCTCTTGATATTCACTGTTTTGTTTTTCCCCTGAAGATCAAATGCATTCTATAACCTTTTGTAGTTTTCTTTTAGAAGGCAAATAGGCTACATAAAGGATTTAAAACCTTTGGGGGAAAAGTCTTGGGTTTCTGGTTGAAGTAGGCTTTTGTCAACTAGTAGTAGAGATGGCAGACCTCATTCATCACTAAAACAAATCCATGCTGAACTGCAAATCTTTACTCAAAATGTAAAGAACTTGACTCTTTTACATATTTCTGTGTATCCTAAAGAACCCTCAATATTATTGTGGTCTAAAATGTAATTTATATTAGGGGCTTACTTTTTAGTGTCATATCTTTTCTTCGTCATTATTGTTTTTTTAACTCACAAAAGACAATATAAATTCTGGCTAATTTTGAAGACATTTACCAGTGAGATATAAATATTAGTCTAGTGCCTATATAAAAAAACATGTCAACCCCAGAGCAGGTCTGAAAACTAAATATAGTCTATTACTTTTTAGAGAACTTGCCTAAAGGCTGTGGCAAGGTATCAGTGGGTTTTTAAAAAGAAGTTCCATTACATCTAGACATCTGAAAGCATCATTCCTTTGAGCACCAAAATGGAAATGTGTCTAATGAAATGCACTGAGCCTCATGTACAGATGTCCTGCCCTCACAGACTGATGTGATGAAGGACAAAATAAAAGTCATTCTTATAAGTGTTTACAACTAATGGAAATGCATCATGTGGCATCCAGGAATAATGGAAAATCAATACCCCTTACTAGGGCACCACAGTTCACCAGTACAGAAGGCAAGAGTGTTCAACATCTTAAAGACTCCCATGAAACGGGGAGGGAGGAAGCCTTTGGCTATGAAGAGTGGCTGATAACTTAAAGTTAGTGCAAAGTCTGAAGAAATGCTGTGCACTGGGTCATTTTACATAGTCTTCCAACTGATCTACTTAGTACTTTTTAAGAAGAACAAATGTTAACTATATAATAAAGTGACATGTATTTTACTCAAAAAAGAATTCCTCTTATAAGTAAAGAATGAAATCTAGTTAAAGAAAGTTGTTAAACAACACATTTTTGTGTTCTTTTTCAGACACGGGCTATAGCAAAATAATATGTATTTCCTTCTTATTCTGTGCTTTATTATATTTGCATATTTGGTACAAAATGCCACTGCTCTAGTGTCTGTTCTGGCTTTACATATGCTGCCAGCAATGGTCACATTCAATTGTCTGAATGACTAATTTCTTCTATGGGCTACTTAGGAAAATTAATGAATACTGTCAAAAGAGTAGATATTATTGTCCTTCATAAATTCTTTATGTAATATTGAGGTCATTTTTCTCCATGAAAAAATAATGATAATGGATATCAGTGGGAAAATGTGATTCAATATATAAATGCTCACCTCACAAACAATGGAAAGAGTATGAAGTTGATCTTAATGTCAGATGGGTGGTAGAAAAAAACGGCCTTTAAAGTTCCTTATAGTGGTTTCATTTCTATTATTTTTTCAGGATTTTCTAATGGAGCATATATTCTATTTGGGAACACAGACTAGTCTTTTAGCAAATGAGGACATAATTGTTGTCAAACAATGATAAGTGTTCTGAAGTGAGGAGGGAAAGGGATGGA